AAAAAAAAAAAAAAAATCAACATCTCATATTCTCTCTTTCATCTAAATTCCGTTTTTACCCTTCGGTTGAGGTCTTTCACTTTCCATATATTTTCACCCCTACCATAAATGCAAGCCTTTTCTTGTGCTCCCCCATTTCTTGATTACCTCTAATTTCACTATTCACAGTGTTCACACTCTCATCTCAGCTTCTCTCCTCCATTGATTTGCAAACATATAATATTTTCACTCTACCTTTGTAACATTCGCAAAAGGTGTACCTACCATTGCAACACCGAGTCGAGCTTTTTATTAGGGCACCCCTCGAGAGTCCCAGCTCTCCTTATTCTTTCCACCATTAAAATAAAAGCTTTGCTCACTTAAAGATTAGATTTTTGTCTGGCATTGTTTTGGGAAAACTAGAATTGCTTGCATATAGTTATTGTTTTCTTGAATTCCCCTTTGGCCCACCGCTAGGCCGCCCTTTGCCTTGTAAACTACTCCTCTTCAACTTCTTGTAGGTTCTTATTTTATTTTCCTTTTGGGGTTCTTCTATTTTCTTGCATTTTTCCTTTTTTTTTTTATCTGGGTTTTTTATATCGCATTGGAATCTATGCTCTTGAGCCTCAGTTGCACCAAAGAAAGTGCCTTTGATGTGCCATTTTGGGATTTGAAGGAAGAAGATCAAGAGGGTTAAGTTCAGATCATTAAGCAAAGGTCAGAGCTGCTCTGTGTAATTAAGTTTTACTTCTGTTTTTGTTGCTTTAAGTTATGTGGTTCTTGGCCTCTTTCTTTTTTTTTTGGCATGTTTACTTTTTGTTTTTTGGATCATATGTCTGGTTTGTTTTGATTGGGAATTTTACTATCCCAAAATAGAAAAAAAGAAAGTCGTAGATTTAGAAATTGGTTTATATTGTCTGTGTTTTGGTTCGATGTGAATGTAATGCTGATTGATTTTCGAAATGTTAAACACCTGTGTGATGATTTTGGTGTGATTTCTTCTTGGAGACACATAGTGAGCATTACAGAACCGAATATGTTTTTATGTCGTGTGGTAGTAAGTAGTAGCCGGTCACATTCTGGCACTGGTTAAGCTACTTTTTGATTTCGCTGGGATTGATTTGGATTTTTGACGAATAGCAGCGATTTAGAAGTCGTTTTGCTGCACCGGATTTGAGATGCAAAATTAGATTAGTTACATTTGTTTGGTTGAGCAGCTGCATCAGATTACTTCATGTTGTTAACATTTGTATCTATAAATTTCAGTGAAGCGCTTCATATGGTAATGTGGTTTGCTTGTAGTATCCAGGATTCAATGGATTGGTTCTTGTTAAAAACATAGTACGTAGCAGAATTTCGCCTTCGCTTCGTAAAATGTCGTCTGGAAGCCTAAAAACTGCGCTATCAAAGAAATATGGTGGAATAAAACTATGGGTTCTGATCGGCATATCCGTTGGAGCATTTATAGTTCTTATTCTGGGGATCCTATCAATATGGGTCATGTTCAGAAGAAAGTCACAAAGAACCTTGGACAAGCACAATCTCGTCCAAATCCCTAATGTCTCAAAGGAAATTAGGGTTGTGGACAGTGTTGCAGACCAAAGCACACAAGATCGTCCAGATGGTAAGAACTCCGAGAAAATGATGGTTCATTTAGGCAGGAGTAAATCTAGTGACGTTGATGATGTCAGCCAGGGCAGTTCAATGTATCATCAGGAGAGGACATATAGCTCTCACTCTGGGGAGGAAGGAAGCTCGGGTAATGCCAGAAAGCAATATTCTTCGTCATATGCACTTGCAATGCCGTCTCCTTTAATTGGTTTGCCTGAAGTGTCACATCTTGGGTGGGGCCACTGGTTCACTCTTAGAGATCTTGAAAATGCCACAAATCGGTTTTCTCCAGAGCATGTTATTGGGGAAGGTGGTTATGGTGTTGTTTATAGGGGCAGATTGGTCAATGGCACAGAGGTAGCAGTCAAGAAACTCCTTAATAACCTGTGAGTACTCGGCTCATGTTTCATCTACTTTGGAGTTTGTAATCAAAGTGTATATTATTACAACTTTTGCTAAATGACTAATAAGCAATATTGTTGCAGTGGGCAAGCAGAGAAGGAATTTAGGGTTGAAGTTGAGGCCATTGGCCATGTTCGGCATAAGAATCTTGTTAGGCTTCTTGGCTATTGCATAGAAGGAGTTCAAAGGTTAGGTTTTTTTCTTGATTGCACCTGAACACTTTTTAGGTGATATGGTTTCTGGTTGTTATAGTAATGAGTCTTCCTAATTGTTTTAGTTTCTATTTATATTACTTCATAGTTGAGAAAATTTCATTGTTTATATGTGCAGGATGTTGGTATATGAATATGTATGCAATGGCAACTTGGAACAGTGGCTCCATGGGGCTATGAGACAACATGGCACCCTAACGTGGGAGGCCCGTATCAAGGTTCTGCTCGGCACTGCAAAGGCGTAAGTGAATTTTTTTTTTTTTTCAGTGTACTGTCTGACATGCCTTCTCCCTCTACATATTTAATTCTAATCAGCAACCAACTCTGACCAAAATGATTTATGGCATCTTGACTTTTGTAAGTGAGGCAGAAACTTTTCACACATGTGTCACTTAGTCTGAATTTTACCGTTGCAAATATTTGTTGATCATTCTTGCTTATCATAGGGCATCATGTGTGTGAAAGCAACAATTTGACAATGATTCAAGAATCTTTAGAATATTGAAAGCACTCCTAATTGGGCTTTTGCAGACTTGCTTATTTGCACGAAGCTATTGAACCGAAAGTGATTCATCGTGACATAAAATCTAGTAACATCTTGATTGATGATGAGTTTGATGCAAAAGTTTCTGACTTTGGGTTGGCTAAGCTGCTGGAGTCTGGAGAGAGTCATATAACAACTAGAGTGATGGGAACATTTGGGTACAACATCTTTTCTTCTGTTGTTTGATTGATACTCTTAATCTTTGCAGTTCAGCTGTTCTTATCTGGTTCCTAAATCACTCGTGTTTTTTGGGTTTCAGGTATGTAGCCCCTGAATATGCAAATAGTGGCTTGTTAAATGAAAAGAGTGACGTTTACAGTTTTGGTGTTCTGCTTCTGGAAGCTGTCACTGGAAGAGATCCTGTAGATTATGGCCGTCCAGCTGATGAGGTATTTACTATAGTCGTGTAATTTCAGCTGGAATCTTAAAAAGTAAATCAATAGTACAATAACACGATATATGTGGCAACTTTACAGGTTAACCTTGTTGAGTGGCTGAAAATGATGGTCGGGAGCAGGAGAGCTGAGGAAGTTGTTGACCCTAACCTTGAAGTGAAGCCGACAACTCGTGCCTTGAAGCGTGCACTATTGGTTGCCCTTAGATGTGTTGACCCCGACTCAGAAAAACGGCCCAAAATGAGTCAGGTTGTTGTTATGCTTGAAAATGACGAGCTGCCTTATCGTGAGGTGAGCTTCCATTCGAACTAAGCATTATGTTTATCTTGCAGATCCTAAAACTACCTTAAATGAATTGAAATAACGCATCATGGTTTTCACCGAAAAAAGTGTGATGAAAGGGTCATAATAATGGCACTGTGTCACGTGTATATATAGTTAGATAAATGGTATATGCGAGTTGCAGCAGCTAAATGGCAAATTCATATGCTAAATAGTAAATCTTTTTTGTAAATAAGATTAGTCGCTATAAACTAAAGCAAAAAGTAGTAACCGGGCCAAGTTACATTGTGTTCATGCAGGATCGTCGGAGGAGGAGGAAAAGCGAGACGGGCAGCTTAGAGATTGAAAAGGAGAGTTGTGGTTCGGTCGAGACTGAAAGCAAGGATGCAGCAGACACACACACCCATTGACCTCTTTTCGAGCTCACCTAAAAACTTGAACTATATTAGTGTTCACCGGTGTGATTAGAACAAAATGATGGCCCATTAGGAAATCTTGTTTGCCTGGCAGCGAATTAGAGAGAGACTTGTTTTGTACAGTTTTTTTTTTTTTTTTTGTGGATTTCTAGTTGCTCTTTGTTGATAACCATTCTGAAGATTATCATTTTTTTTTTTTATATAATAACAGTATGGTCTGTTTGAGATTATTTTCAAGTACAATACTTCTTGAATGAGAAAAGGTTTGCAAGCTGTCTTTTAATTTGAAATACTACTAAAACAGTCCACATAATGACATGAATTGATTTTATTCTGGACTTGAAATGTTACAGTTGCTTTTTAGTAGACTATTTTTATTAGAAAGAGTTTCAATTATTCTAACTGTTCTAGCCTTTATATATTTTTATAACATTTATATCTACTAGTATGCACATGCACAGTTACAAAAAAAAAAAAATGATATGTAAAAATCTTAATAAAAAATAAAAAATTATTTAATCCATTTATAATTGGATATTTCATAATGCAGTAAAAAAGAAAAATATAAATATACAATTTACCATATATTAGTGACTATTATTATATGAATATAATCAAGGTTATGAAAGCTGAACCGGTCAACAAACCGTTTAAGCTACTGGTTCAATGGTTGGACCAGTGATCGAATCGGTCGAACCGGCTTAATTAATATAAATTTTTTATTTATTTTATACGTATAATACTATTTGTATATATATGTTTATCATTTTTTAATGTATAATGACATTTCTCTAAATAAGAGTTCAATAATAAATATCTTATTTATAGTTTACCATAGGTTTGTAATTAATTTTTAAATGGATTTTAATATTATTTTTCTTTTTAGATTTCATTATCTAAAGAATAAAAAATTAAAAAACAATTTTGAGCTTTAATTTTTATTGAAATTTAAAAAAAATAAAAATGAGTTACACATGTTGGGCTTGTGCAATTCAAATTCAAAGTCTTTCCAATTCAAATTCTGCATTCCAAAATCCAAACATATGTAATAGTTATAGAGTAATTAATTTAGGGAATTACTAATCGTCGCCCCCCTTATTACTAGTCACCGCCCCCCTTGGACGATTTTGCCCCTGCCATTTTTTCTTTCGCTCAAGATGTCAAGCGATTCGGAGGTAAAATATTTTTTTGTTGTTTCGACCGGCCGATGCAACCGGACGACCGAAATGGCATCCGGTTTGACCGGCCGGTCCGGTGGCATAACGGGCGGTTTTTTGGTCCGTACGTACCGGTCTTTGTCCGGACGGACCGGCCGTACGGACAGGTGGCGTCCGGCGGCGACGGCCGGTCGGTACACGGTCCGTCCGGTCCGACCGGCCGGACACCAATTTATTTTATTTATTTTTCGAAAATTTATTTATTACTTTAATTAATTTTATTATTAAAATTATTTTAAAAATTAAAAATTATTATGTTATAAATTGAACGTTAGATATTATTGCGTTAGGAATTAGAAAGTATTATATTATAGATTTGAAATAATTATGTTATAATTTGAACGTTAGATATTATTGTCTTGAAAATTAGAAATTATTAGACTTGTTTATGTAGAAATTAAACGTTAAAAATTATTATGTTGTAGAATCGAAATAGTTATGTTATAAATTGAACGTTAGATACTATTGTGTTAGGATTTAAAAATTATTATGTTATAAATTTGAAATAATTATGTTATAAATTCATTAATATATTTGATTAAAAATAAATGATTTATCATAATAATTTATTCAATAGGAGTTAGAAATTATTATATTATAGAATTGAAATAATTATGTTATAGATTAG